AGAGAGAGAGAGAGAGAGAGAGAGAGAGAGAGAGAGAGAGAGAGAGAGAAAACGGCAGAGTAACACTTCTCGATGATATATGACGATATCCTGCCCCTGACGTCAAAGTACGAAGGCTACTTCTTCCGCGTCCTTAATTCTTGCAATTTTACACGTGATATCGTTTAACGAAAAAAAAACTGTATTCGTCAACAAATTTTAAGCTCGTGAAAGTTTACAATTTTTAGCAGACTATAAGATCACTACGAACCAATGTACGTGCAAATATATTTTTGAACGTGTAAATTAATACACTTGGAAATTCGAATTGATTTCAATGCGAAAATTTATCTAAGATTCTTAATTTACATTCTCAGCACAATAAATTAGTCATTTTACTCTTCCTATAAAATTTGAAAAATCGCGAAAAAGACACATTAGCCAGGAAGTGAACCTTGGACTTTCCGCATTCGTCGACTAACATTATATTTTTATTTCTGTAAAATTTTTATTAGATTCAATTATATCTACTCTCTAACGTTTTTAGCTGGGAAAAAAAACTCTACATACGCGTATGAGTTCTAAATAATACGAAACATATATATTCAATAAAAAAGCGTGATTTCTTAGTATCTCGATCGTCTATCTATCAAACTCGACCTCAATCACACGGTCATTCCCCGACTTATCATCGTTCATCTATCTATCATTTCGGATCGCTGTCGTAATATCCGTGGAAGGGCGAGCGCGGGAAAAATGATTTCCCGGGATAACAAATCCCGCGATTGCGGGGGTAAACGAGGTTACGGACTTACAAAGGAAGAGAACGTAGCGGCAGTCATCGTGCCCGTTCCTCCCTGAAACTGGAGACCGACGGATATCCAATTGGAGCTATCGAAGGTCAAGTCGCCGTGGCACAAATTGCGTTACCCGGGATCCTATTTTCCCGAACCCTCCCCGCGTGCTCCCTCCGCCTATTCTTCCCGATGCAATTTTTCCGCGCCGGATAATAAGTTATTCGATCGCGAATTATCGAATGTTATCAGGCCGTCGATTTCTCACGCGATTCGATTTATTGAGAATGTCTCGACAAGGACTGCGAACAAATTTCAAAGATGACCGAACGATTTGTTCGCGTTCGAATAATCAAGTTTTCTCCGTTGTTTTGTTTCATATCGACGTATCTCATTGCGTTTTTGTAAATTTCTTTGCTCTCATATGTATTTTTAACAGACATTGCATTTTTGACACTTCTAACAATTTGCATTCTTTTCTCTACGTTCCTGTTTTTCCGCGTATCTCGGAAGTATTTTTTTTTTTTTTTTTTTGCAGTTTAAAACAAACTTTTATACATCGAGTCAAGTGTTTATTTTTTCACGCGTCGTTTTCTCTCTCTCAGTAATAAATTTAATTTTCACTCATTACGATTTTCTTCTAATAAACTCACCGGCCAGACGACCATAGCGCTGAAACATTCGTTCTACATCGGTTTTGCTGCATTGAAATGTATTCAGGTTCCCGACGAAAACGCGTGAATTCACAGCCTGTGGGTCCTGTGAATTGGTCTGGTTGCCCACTTTGCTCATCTTCATCGCCTGAAACAGAGAAGAAAAAAATTTTTTTAATAAAAGTTTTTTCTCTCTTTTTCTATCTCTCTCTCTTTCTCTCTTTTTGTCCCTCTCTATTTTTAAATGAATAACAACTATAAAGGTACTAAAACAAATTTTCATAGATCTTTTGCACAACACATTGTTTTAAAAAACTGCACGCATTTGTTAATTTACCGAATGCAAATCTTTTATCGATGATTACACAAATATACACACAATTTTTGCAAATAGAAAATGTCCTGTATAAAATACATTTTTATAGAAAATAATATATTGAAGATAAAATGTATTTCGTGAATGTGTAAAAAAAGGAGATAAAAGAATGAATGACAAAACTGTGATACAGAAATGTAATAAATACAATATCTGACATCCAAAAATGCTTCAGTTGTGCAACCAATTTATTACGGGTTTATTCTATTTTTTTTTTTTACGTCAATGTATGTACATGTTGTTGTTTTTTTTTTCAAGAAGAACAGATAAAAGAAAGAGTGGGAAGAGCGGATTAATTCAATTAATCGGGTAGAGATCGATTAATTCCGCGAAAATGCCGGTCGTCGCTAACGATCTCGTTAGTTTTACGCGTTATTTCGCGAAAGTAGAAAACGAACTGTTGCACAATGGGATTGCGAGGCGTTAATTAATCCACGACGCGCCAATTAGCGATCGCGAATGTCTCTTTGACGCCAGAAAGCCATCTACACGCTTGGATGTATCGTAATCATTGTCGTCATTAGTATACATATATTTGTTATCATATGATTTATTTCACTTTTCACTGTTTTACTCGGACGTGTCTTACTTCGTCGAGCGCTCAAGACAACCTCTATCAAATTACATTTTGTTTTACGCGATTTGCAAATAAAATCTATGTACTGGCAATAATAAATCGAATATAGGATTAGATTTCAACCGATTGTTACCCGAATAACTCGCGCGTAATCTTATATCCGACGGGGTGTCTTTAATAATAATCGACATATATATTTTATTTTAACACAATATACCACTTGTGTGTACGTACATCTTTCTCCCGATGTCGTTGGTCGTGCGAATCCAATTTGTAACTTTGATTGCTTACGAGGAAAAAGTTTATCGAGAGATCATCAAAAATCTCGCATCACCGATAAACGAGAAACGGTTATCGATTTCACGGGTTTGTATCGGAACGGCGATTGACACGCCGGCACGGCGCCGATATTAAAGAGTTGGTCTCCATAAATATCGACAGTTACACAGCGAGATGGGCGCAGGGAGAGTTGTGGATAAATATTGGCTTGCACGTCAAAATTAGTAATCGACACGTTGGTGGATTTAATCGACGAAGAATTGTTGTAGTTTCGTTTCCAATTTTACGACACGCGAAAAGTGAGACAGTTCCCGATTTACTCTGCAGAGGGATGGTTCCTAAAAACACCCGTGATCTGATTTTATCAACTCGCGTTTCTGTTCTCGTGAAAACTGCTCTCTGTTGGAAATGAAACAGTTTTCCGTGGGATTTAGATCGTAAGATCTCAGTAAACTTCATCTGTAATACAAATTTGCAAAACGAAAGAAACTACACAGAGGGAGGTGATGTGTATACAGGTTTTGTGTCTGTTTTGTTATCAAAGAAAAAAAACTGAAATCGTCAATTTGAATTTGCAGCCTGCGATAATTCCCAATCAAGTCGGCACTTGGCAATGATTCTCGCGGCGGATTTCTAATTACGTTTCTAGTTGGGCCGGACTAGAATTTAGCTACCACGTCGGCCGTTATTTATGGCGTGAGCCAACCTTAGGTACATACATGTTCACTTGTAATTGTTCTCACGCAAATAATCTCGCGAGAGCGCGCACACTTGTCGAAAAGTCGAAAATCATATCAAATCTACAATTTCGAGAAAATAGAGCGCGCTCATTATTTTTCTTCTTTTTTTTCTTCAATAATTCATTTTGTCAACCACGTTCAATTGAGTGACGTTCACGCTGATCTAGGACGTAGCATGGATTCTATTCAATTAACTGACGAAGCGCTATTTTTGAGAATATTTGTTAGGTTAAAAAAAGTCGTTTCTATTTCATTTTAATTTTAGTTGCAAAACATCATGCGCAACTCTTTTACATTATTGTGACGAAGAGAGTATAATTGATAAAATTACATTACTTTATTCTTTACTCTTTTGCACTTTTCAAAAAATATAAATATACGACCAACAACGTTATTCAAGAGCGTATATTTCACTTTTCCATTACTCTTTTGCAACATTATAATTTGTTTTTATTATAATATTAAGAATTTTAATGTCTGTATATGTATCTATTATATATTACACCCGTTGGGATGAATAGAAGAAGTATTATCGTCATAGGCCGATTATAGCTATCATTAATATATTAAAATCAACTCGCACCTCGCGGCAAGTAAGTTCTGGAGAAGAAGGAAGTAAGGGGATTATTCATAATTTATGTAAGAGACGAAACAAAAGCTGCAAAAGCTGGTCGCATAATTTTATCTTACGGACCGTCGAAGTTTGGACGTCTCGATAATTTTCTCTCTCTTGCGGATTTCCAAGTGGTTTTAACTTCGTTTGTTCTTTACGTATCTATATTTGCTGCAGACGTTAGAATATAATATCGACATTGATTGTCTCCGAAACTCGACGACTAAACATTTCGAATGATAATCTAAAAATAAAAAGAAAACAAAACAAACACAAACAAACAAACTTCCGAACTTCAGAATTACATTGTGACAATTGTTGTTATTTATTTGTGTGTGTTTAACTTGCTGTTAAATTAGATTATATTTAAGCAACCGAAAACGTGCAGCTGCATTTTAGAATAGTTTACCTAATTAAGTCGAGCTAACGAGGTTTCCGATTACCTCGATAATCGATGCTGTATCTTGCGTCCTGCGGTTGGCAAATCACATCAATAAATCGTTACCATACAATAAACATTTTCATATTAATCGAAGCACGCCGAAAATGGCTAATAATGTTTACATAATTTAAGTATTAAGAGTGTTGAATATCTAATCATGTAAATCGCAAACACATATGAATTGTTTAATATATATACATAGAGAGAAAGAGAGAGAGAGAAGAATTAAGTTTTGCATTAAATACCTGTATGACGGAGAGATTGATAATATAATATTGTGTATAATTTTATGCTATTACTGATATCACAGCAACAGATAACACACATATTTTGTGCTCGCAGTACGAGGAATCGCTCTCATTCGCAACTTTCCGCGCGTATGCGTTCGGATAATTAGCGCTAATTAGTAGAATTGACGACCGGAAGACCCTAAATTCTTGGCGAGGGTGCAAGTAAACAATTACGCGCGTTTACTTTGAACTACTCACGGCAAGACGCGAGCGAATGTGAAGCGAGATGAAAGTTGTGCAAATGTTTGCTGTGGAAGTGAACCGCGCGAGTGAGAATGAAGAAGATACGTTGTAAAGGAAGAAGTGAGAGGAAACAGTGAGTGAGAAAAAGAAAAAGAGAGAGAGAGAGAGAGAGAGAGAGAGAGAGGGTGAGACAAAGAAAGAGAGAAATGGAAGTTTGCAAAAGGACTCGTGCTATCATTCATGAAAGAGAATAGCTTGAGTACCCCGGGAATAACAACAACACAGTCTAAGAATTTGAGGATATAATATTATCAATACAGAATTCACAAGATATAGATATAAAACAAAAAACACTTTAAAACGAGCACTTAGATTGTTTTCCCACAGAAAGCTGAAAATAGAATGATATTTACTTACGAACATTAAATATTATTTTAAAAACTCGATATAAATTTTTCATTACATACATATAATCTTTAATGTACACTATTGTGTTGTAAAACTCTCTTACAAATACACACATCTCTATTATAAAAAAAAAAAACTGTACATGCGTACAGTATCTTCTCATTGAATAATGTAACACTTGTCACACTATAAAATTAGAAATTTACAAATGTTTCTTATGCGACAAAATTTGTGTTAATTTAGGCTCATAAACGTGGTGAGATGTTAATTAATTTATTCAGTGCAGAAACTAAATATCTGCATGACGATATTTTGGCAACGGTTTGTTCAAATAGCTTTATAAATAATTATCGCTGCTCTTAATGATCTATAACTCGCAGATTTACATATTCATTATCTAATTTACAATTGCGGAGTTAATATTAATATACATGTAAAATATATTTTTTTATCATGACGAATGACTAATTATATTACAATGAATGTTATCAATTATGTAAAGAGAAAAATTTTTAATTAAGTAAATAATATATACTGCTAGAAGTTACGTCCACTAATATATAGATATTTTATAAATACTACGTAACATGTATATGTATATATGTTATAAATACCACGTTATATGTGTATATACACGTATGTATATATGTACAGTCAAACCTCGATAACTCGAACTTTTATAACTCGAAAACCTCTATAATACAAAAATTTTGTTCATGTCTTTCCGCTCCGCGGGAAGGAAAAGAGCACTTCGATAAGTCGAAATCTCTACAACTCAAAGATTTTAGCTCTTCCCTTGAGATTCGAGTTATCGAGATTCGACTGTGTATATATATATATATACACACACACAATTGTGAATCAACTTCTATCACCCGGATCTAAAATGCACTAATTAATGATCTTGATTATGCTAGAGCAAATGTGCCTGCATATACATTTAATCAATAATTGACTACATTGTTGAAATCGAGGACAATGTAGTACATACAATTTATTCACCGGTACGTTCGTATAATATATGTGTAATAATACTGTAATCACAATAATGCCAACAATAACACGAAGAAATCATAAACTAGGCTTCGGGCTTCACAGTTATTCATACAAATATTAATTATTAAAAAATACACTTTTGTCATTATAACAAAAGTTACTAATCCATCAATCACCAAAGAACAGTAAGAAAAAAAGTGAAATTGAGAGAGAGAGAGAGAGAAATGTTTAGAAAAATTCCCGA